CACACGCATACACACACACACACACGTACGTACCGAAATACGATTCCGCTTGTTTACCCAGGAAAAAAAACCTCACAGAGCTTAAAGAATGTTTAACCAGGAGGGCCCTGCCGAACGTTCGCAGTAGGAGGAGGAGGATGGGGGGGTGTAATATTGCTGCCGTCTGGAATCTCAATTGAGTGATTTGTGGTTAATTGCTCAACGTCGGATATTTCATGGCCAACAGCGGTTGCATTGTGCGAGTGGGGATTGTGTTGTTAAGCCATGGGAGTAAATCCGAGAACCTCCTGAGGAAACCCATGCAGCAGCAGAGGAAGAACTTCACGCAGAAAGGCGCCCCCCCCCCTCCCTCCCCCCCACCCCGAGATAGGAGTCGAACCCAGGCCCTTCTTTGCTGTGTGTAGGCCACGAGCGTGACCACCGGGGCCCCCCTGCCACCCCCCGACCGTGCAACAACAAAACTACAACCAACCCAAACCGATAAATGCGCGGTGGTTACACAGTGGAATCCGCCTTCTCGGCAAACGCGCAATCATCGGCTCTGGGCAAACCGGGGCGGCCCGGCGCTCTGCGGCCATTTACGGGAAGCAAACCGGTCCCCTCATTTGGCGTCAGCGGCGATGACGCCAGGGCCCGGCTCGGGAGCGCCGGCACGGCTCCCCCGTGCGGTAATTTTCATCTTGCGCTCGGCGAGGGATAGGGGGGGGGGCGGGGGGGGGAGAACGTCTCCGCGGGTATCGCCGGCGGGCGAAACGGGCTTGAGAGTCACCGCGCTCTCCACTCCGGGGTCACCGAATCCGCGAACGTGGTGTGGGTAGTGGTGGGTAGTGGTGGTGGGTGGGGGGAGGGGGGGGAACGTAACGAGAGAAGCGGTGAAGGTTGATGTCACCGCTGGGAGGAGGCAGGGCGGGAGGAGGAGTGGCTAGAAGACGTAATCCGCATCCACCATCGCCATGGCCCAGGCAAACTTGTCGCGCTGCGTTTTGTTGTAAATCTTCTCGATCGGAACTCCAAATTTCTTGCACCTGGCGGGGCGTGACGGGTGCAGAGAGAGAAGGGGGGGGGGGGGGGGTGGGGGGGCAGGGGCGGGGGGGGGGACACGGAGATCAACGACGGGCGCCGCGTGCACGCCGGGCCGCTTCTCGCGGAGCTTCGCCGACCGCCGTCATCCGCCTCTCGCGCTCCGCCGCACAGCTTCCTCCTAGCCCACAACAAACGCGGGCACACACACACACACACACCGCCGGCGGCGGCGGCGGCGGCGACGACACGGGCGCGAACAAACTCGCGCTCAACGCCGGCGACGTTTCGGGCGACGGCCCTTTTCCGTAGCGGGGTTAGGGGGGGGGGGAGAGGGCCGTTTGCACGCGAACGTCACCTGGCGGCGCACGTTGTTGCGGTCCTCTTCAAAACAACGGACGTGCACGTGATGCGCGCGTTCACGCGGCTCTCTCCCCGAGCCTCGGTGGCCTCTCACCTGCCGAGGTGGCGGCGCTTGGCGCTAGCGCCCTCCCGTGGCCACGCGTGGTCACGCGGCTGCCACGCTGGGGCTCCCGAGCGCGCGAGCGATTAGCGGCGCTTAAGGGAAATTCCTCGCCGGGGTTCCTCGTAGAGACTTTTTCAGGAGGATCCTGCCAGGTTTTTCACAGTAGGAGGCTGCGGCGTGTGACCCCAATGGAGTAATTCGCGGGTCATTTTTCAGCATTTGGAATTTTTTGGCTAATAACAGTTACGTTGTGTGGGGTTTTTTTTTTAGCTAATGAGGAGGAAACTCAAGTACCGAGGAAGCAGGCCCAAATAGAACAGAGGGGGAGAAAGCACAAACTCCATACACAAAAGACACCCGGAGCTGGGAATTGAATCCTGGTCCTTGTTGCTTTGAGACACGAGTGTTACCCCACTGTGTCGCCGCCAGGGGCACCGAGGGGAAGTCTCCTGGCGTCGCGTGTGGAGGAGGGAGGGTGGAATGTCCCCGTATCGCTCATCGTCTGAACACGCAGGACGTGTCACCTTTGTCAAACATGTGTAGTGACGTATAATGGGTCACTACGGCGCCTAGCGCCAGTTGTTGAGAGAGAGGGGAACTGAGAGTGTAGTAGCCCTCTCTGCCAGCAGGGTACGCTATGTCATGGAAAGGGTCCCTAGGGGGCATGGTTCTGGTGGCTGGCAGAGAGGGGGCATCTGAGGACGTAGCAGCCCGGCTGGCTGGCAAGGGCACGTGACAGGACAGGGTAAGGATGTGGGCCAAAGGGGACAGAAGGGACACGTGGTGTATGGCCCAGAATCTTCTGGAGGGGGCGTGGCCGAGGGCGGAGCCAGGCCACGGTGGAATGGAACCCGCCGTGCTGTCTTCTCCTCGGTCTCCGGTCTTCGTGCTCGGCATCGTGGGTCAGGCAGTGTGCCGACTGACCTGACCCGTTTATGTAGTTACCCCGTGGTGGTTACCGGTTATGTGGTTACTCAGTTGTGGTTGTAGAATAAACATGTTGCCTCCTGAGTGCGTCTCTCAAGTGAACCCACTGCACGTGGAACTCAAAAACTGCGAGTGCCAGAGCTTCCGTCAGCTGCTACACCTGCTAAAGGTCAATAGGTCGGTCGCCTTCCTGACCTCTTTTACCACGACTACCATGAACTCAACTCGATGATTCTTCCCCCCTGTCTTTAATCTCATTCACCACACCGTGTTCAACCACCAAACCACCACTCGCTCAATAACCAACCCACTTACCAACTCACCCACCCACCCACCCACAAACTCGCACACCCACCCACCAAACCACTCATCACATTGCAGGTCACAACACTTCTATTTCTGCTTCTTCTTTCTCGCACTGCCCCACTTTGGGATTCCCTCTTCACATCATCATCATCATCATCTTTTCCCAAGCTCTTGCCACGAAAATAACCTCGCTGAATTTAAGAAACCCATGAACCCTTATCTAATACAGCATTGATATTGCTGCTTGTCGCTGGCCGCTTGGCGTTTTGAGCCCCTGTGGGTTTGTGCCGAGCAGCCGTGCTCGTCACGGGAACACGGCATCGGCGCGTCGCCGTGCATGCCACCACTTCACGGAGCGCCCCCGCCCACTCCCGGGTGAGAGAGGAATCCGCGGTGAGGGGGGGGGGGGCTCCGATGGGGGCCACCGGCCCCAGCCCCCACCCATGGCCCCCCCGTTTAGGGTATTTGGTTGCGGTTTTAAATTTCCACGTGACAATCCGCTTCGTTGAGCTATCATTTTGTCGCCAGGTAGCTTCTGATAAAGAGCTGCGTAGCTCAGCGGGTAAAGTGGAAACAAATATTCTTAGTTTTTTTCGGTAAAGTCACGTTGAAGGGAAACAACAAAATAATAAAATATATATAAAACAATAACAAAAAATTCTCACGACGTTTCGACCATAACTCAAACGGTCGTCTTCAGGTGTGTTGGTTTGCATACATTTATTTTTATTAATAAACTGCCAAATCGTTGCGCGTGGCGCTAACGTTTTTATAAATAAATAAATGCGCCGTTTAAAAATTAATTTATGCTAACCAACACACCTGAAGACGACCGTTTGAGTTATGGTCGAAACGTCGTGAGAATTTTTTTTATTGTTTTATATATATTTTATTATTTTGTTGTTACCCTTCAACGTGACTTTACCGAAAAAAATAAGAATATGAATTACTGCAGTCACGAAAGCTTTAAATCAAAATTTAAAAAGGAAACAAGTTTAATGGTTCGTTTTCAGATGCCCCCAACGCACCAGGCGACGGAGATGCGAGGGTCCAGGTAGTTGAGCTTCGAGGTGCCGAGCGCGATCTGCTTGTTCTCCTCCTTGTCCGTGACGGCTACCTCCATGTTGGCCAGCTGCTGCTCGATCCGCTCCACGGCTTTCTGCTTTGCCTCCACGATCCTGGGCGGCACGGGGCAGGAGAGAGGGGGCAGGAGGGGGCGGGGGGACACGAGGGGGGCGCGGGTCGAGCCGTTTACATGCCGAGACGCGTTGGTGCACGTGGGGAGTGGTGAGCGCAGCAGTTAGCGCACTTCCATTCCTGCTCCTCACACGGTCGACTCGGCCATGTAGGCCTTCATGGCTGCTCGCCGACAAACATGGACACTCGCGCGTGCGTTACTTCTGCATCTTGGGATCGTCGTGCCGCTTCAGGTTGACCTTTGCCTTCGCCAGATCGTCTCGCGCCTCACGCAGCTGCTCCTGTTTGGCGCCTACCTGCACGGCACACACACACACACGGGGCACACACGCACGCATGCATGCGTGCAGCACACACACAAGCGTGTGGGCGCCACACCCTCATTTGTTTCCAGCCAGCGTGCCCTCCCCCGTCCGACGAGTGGAGTCACCGTTTAAACGAAGAGTTCGCTTGACGAGGAGGGCGCGACGAGAGAGTGACACGCAGCAGGGTTGTGCGGGCGAGAGGAAGGAGACACGGAGAGAACGAGACGTGAGGGTAGAAGGAGACACTGCAGGGAGAGGCAGCGCGATACCGGCAGACCTACAGAAAGGAAGACTGAGACGCAGAGGCACAAACTCAGTCTCGCGTACACGCGGACCCCCAAACACGTAGCGTCGACGCACTCCAACCCGCCACACCACCCTCACGGGCCTGGCCCGGAGGCCCTTAGGCCACATACAAACGGCCCTAAGAAGAGAACCCATTTAGATCCCACTGTGCAGGGCCGCATAGAGGCCCCACAAGGGCCGCCTGGGGAGGGCCCCGTGGGGAGGGCCCCGTGGGGAGGGCCCCGTGGGGAGGGCCCCGTGGGGAGGGCCCCGTGGCGAGGGCCCCGTGGGGAGGGCCCCGTGGGGAGGGCCCCGTGGGGAGGGCCCCGTGGGGAGGGCCCGGTCTCCCGGCCGCACCTTGGCCTGCAGGTTGGCCATGGACTGCTCGTAGGACTTGGGCGGCGTGCGCTGGTGGTTGCACAGGATGGCGACTGCGCGGTTGGCGCGGTTGTACGATAGGATCTTCGCGGCCACCGAGTCGTCCGCTGTGGAGGGCGGGTGGTGGTGGGGGGGGGGAAGTTGAGAGCAATTAAATATTTTTGTCCCCAATTGGGTTTGTGCGTACGTGGTAGGGGTGGGAGCGTATGGTGGTTGGGCATGTGCGTGCAATTCGAATTTAGATTCTCGCTCACGGGCAACATCAGCGGCGATTATCTGAATCGGTCCCGGGCGTCCCCGAGGTCGACTCGGCATGAAGTAATTACCCGGTGTGTATAAACGCCACCACTGGGAAGACAAAGGCGTGGTGCTAACCTCACTAACCTCTCCTGCGCAGCGTCGGCCTTCATAGGTGCTTGCTAACAGCACTTGCTCCAACCGCCTGATGAGGCTATAAGGGACATCTTTGTCTGTGTGCGCGTGCGTGCGTGCGTTTCGGCGCACGTTTGGTGAGCTCCGCGAGCTGCTCCTGCAGGGTGATGGAGGCGTTGTACGTGCGGAACACCTTGGCCGAGAGTCCGTCCATCAGTGTCTGAAGGTGCTTGTTCAGCATCATGGACTGTGGAAAGCGTGGACGCACGCATGCACACACACACAGAAGCACAAACACATCACCGCACGCAAGCGCACACACACACACACACGCCACCACACGCACACACATGCACGCAGAGCACGCGCGCGTGCACACACACGCCGTGCACTCTAACACGAAATCCCTGCGCCGGCAGCACTGGCGGCGAGGAGCCGGACGGCAGCGGTGCGGAGGAGACGTGCGTGTGTGTGTGTGTGCGTGTGTGTGTGTGTGCGTGTGTGTGCGTGTGTGCGTGTGTGCGTGTGTGTGCGTGTGCGTGCTCGCTCACGTTGAGCCTGTCGAACAGTTCGTCCCCCGGGCACTTGTTCTCCGTGAAGAGGCGCAGATTCTTGAACACCTGAAACGACGACATCACCATTGACCATGCTCACTCCACTGCTGGGCACAGACTCCCCCCCTCTCCCCTCCCCCCCGCGCCGCCACCGCCCTTCGTGGTTCTCTCGGCGCTCCGTCTCCACGGCGGATCCTCCTCCTGCTGCTGCTGGTGCCGTCTTGCTGGTGCCCGTCTCCTGTGCGGTGCAGCACGGCGCGGGTTTCTATTGCTGCGCCTCAAGACGCTGCGCGTAAACAGGTGGAGTGCTCTTTGTTCAGGGGGAGGGGCAGGTATAGGGCTCCGTGTGAGCTTAGAAGGGGTCTCTGTGTCAGTCTACGCATCTCTGTGCAAGTCTATGGGTTCAAATGTTAGTCTATGGGTCTCTGTGCGAGTCCACGGGTCTCTGTGCGAGTCCATGGGTCTCTGTGCGAGTCCATGGGTCTCTGTGCGAGTCCATGGGTCTCTGTGCGAGTCCATGGGTCTCTGGGCGAGTCCATGGGTCTCTGGGCGAGTCCATGGGTCTCTGTGCGAGTCCATGGGTCTCTGTGCGAGTCCATGGGTCTCTGTGCGAGTCCATGGGTCTCTGTCGAGTACATGGGTCTATGTGCGAGTCCATGGGTCTCTGTGCGAGTCCATGGGTCTCTGTGCGAGTCCATGGGTCTCTGTGCGAGTCCATGGGTCTCTGTGCAAATCCATGGGTCTATGTGCGAGTCCATGGGTCTATGTGCGAGTCCATGGGTCTCTGTGCGAGTCCATGGGTCTCTGTGCGAGTCCATGGGTCTCTGTGCGAGTCCATGGGTCTCTGTGCGAGTCCATGGGTCTATGCGTGGTCTCTTTTCCGATGCTCTTGCAACAATAACCCCGCTCGATTCAACAAACCCGTTCAACCCTCGACGCAACGACTTTGACAGCGCCGTTTGTCGCTGGCCGCTTGACGTTTTGGGCCGCGAGGGCCCGGCGCTCGGCGGCGGCCGGGGACCCACCCGCTTCTCCACGGGGACCTTGTTGTAGTAGCGGATCGAGTCCTTGCCCAGGAAGTCAAACTCGACGACGTTGTGCTGCGCATCGAGCGTCTCGTGCAGCCGTACGTGCTCCACGCGCAGCGAGCAGCAGCCCACCGTGTCCGCCTCGCCCTCGTCCTTCTCGTTACCAGCACGCAGCGCCAGCTACGGGGCCCGCACGCGCACGGACGCACGCACAGCAACACCACCAAGTGGCGGTGACGTCACCACGGCGTTTGCGAGGTGCCTTTTGAGGCCACGTTAAGTGACGTAGGCCCCCGCTTGGCAGGAGGCCACGGGTATTCCACGTGGCCAACCTCGAAAGACTCCTAGGGGCTGGGTTAGAGGTTGGGCCCGCCAAGTGGGATTTTGCCTTCCCGGGGTCTCCAGCACACAAAGACAAAGATCCCCCGTATAGCCTTAATAGGCTGATGGGGCTAGTTCTGTTTGCGAGCACCTATGAAGGCCGGTATGGTACACGAGGGGGTGGGTGGCCAGCACCACCCCCGATCGCCTTTGGCAATGTTTTTGCATGCTGCACCAGGTACTCATTTGAGGCCGAGTCGACCTAGGGGAGGCCCAGGACCAGTTCAGATAATCGTCATTGGTGTTGGACGTGAGCGGGAATCGAACTCGGGTCGCCCGGTTTGTAGCGCAGTGCACTAACCATTGCGCCACTACTCCCCACGAGTATGTATGTGTGTACACGTTCAGCCGTGGCCTGACAGCAGCTGACGTGGATATAGACACGGACACGTGTACGCGCGCCCACACACCGTCATCCTCACAGCGGTTTTTTGTTAGCCATTGAACAAAAACGGTCTCAACATCACGTTCTTTCAGATGCGCTTTTGCGGCTGTCTGGAATGCTCTTCATTCCGATATTAGGAAGCCACTGACGCTAAGCACTTTTAAATAATCTGCATCGAAAATCTATTTCTTGAGAACTTATTTTTGTGTTTATCGTGTTGTCCCTTCCCCTGCGCCTCTGATTAGTGCAGTTGGACACGCACGGTGCGAAATAAGTTCAACATACATACATACACATACAACATACACACATTATCCACTACCCCCCGCAGACCCTCACCTTGTCGATGAAGTAGAGAGCCACGGCGCACTGCCGCACCTTCATCTCGCGCGATTTCCAGTCCCTGCGGTACTGCTCGCGGATCTGCGCCACGCAGCCCTTGAGCTCCCGTGCCACCTCGTACTTCTGCCAGTCCTTCTCCCCCTGCGGGTGGCACAAGCGCCCCGACACCACCACCACGAGGAGGAGGAGGGATGATCAGGCACACCGCCACCACCACCAGGAGGAATGATCAGGCACACCGCCACCACCACCACCACCACGAGGAGGAGGAATGATCAGGCACACCACCACCACGAGGAGGAGGAATGATCAGGCACACCACCACCACGAGGAGGAATGATCAGGCACACCGCCACCACCACGATGAGGAGGAGGAATGATCACGCACACCACCACCACTACCACCACGAGGAGGAGGGATGATCAGGCACACCGCCACCACCAGGAGGAATGATCAGGCACACCACCACCACGATGAGGAGGAGGAATGATCACGCACACCACCACCACCACGAGGAGGAGGGATGATCAGGCACACCGCCACCACCAGGAGGAATGATCAGGCACACCGCCACCACCACCAACACCACCACCACCACGAGGAGGAGGAATGATCAGGCACACCACCACCACGAGGAGGAGGGATGATCAGGCACACCGCCACCACCAGAAGGAATGATCAGGCACACCGCCACCACCACCACCAGGAGGAATGATCAGGCACGCCACCACCACCAACACCACCACCACGAGGAAGAGGAGGAATGATCACGCACACCGCCACCACCACGATGAGGAGGAGGAATGATCAGGCACACCGCCACCACCGCCACCAGCACGAGGAGGAGCAGCCATGACCACGCGAGCGAGTGAGAATCCCGCGCGACCTCCAGTGTGCTACCCGCTCACCTTGACCCTGGAGCTGGCGTTGAGCATCACGTACTTGTTCTGGTACTGCACGTTCTCGGTCCAGCTGGCGAGCCAGCTCACCGCACCGTCGTGCCGCACCTCCTTCCACCGGTGGCCCGCGGGGGGCTCGGGCACCTTGGAGTCCCTGCACTCGTTGTTGTTGTCGTCGTCGCCATCATCATCACCACCGCCGTCATCATCATCACCATGAGCACGATCGTCATCGCCGCCGTGAGCCATCATCATCATCATTATCGCCGACATCACCATAGCTGCCTCACCACCGCCATCGCTAGCGACCTCATCATCACCACTACCGCCACCGCGTTAACCATGGGCCTTGGCTGCCCGTCGCTCGTCCACCACCCTCGCTCTGTACCGCTCTCCACCACTACGATCGCCATCACCATCTCCAATTTGATCACCATCACCGCCATGCGGCTGCCACTGTGCGCACCGCTCTCTCTCACCGTCTCCGATCGACGCCGCTCTCTCACCGTCTCCGCGCTCTCTCTCACCGTCTCCGCGCTCTCTCTCACCGTCTCCGATCGACGCCGCTCTCTCTCACCGTCTCCGCGCTCTCTCTCACCGTCTCCGATCGACGCCGCTCTCTCTCACCGTCTCCGGTCGACGCCGCTCTCTCTCTCACCGTCTCCGCGCTCTCTCTCACCGTCTCCGCGCCCTCTCTCACCGTCTCTGATCGACGCCGCTCTCTCACCGTCTCCGCGCTCTCTCTCACCGTCTCCGCGCTCTCTCTCACCGTCTGTGATCGACGCCGCTCTCTCTCACCGTCTCCGATCGACGCCGCTCTCTCTCACCGTCTCCGCGCTCTCTCTCACCGTCTCCGATCGACGCCGCTCTCTCTCACCGTCTCCGCGCTCTCTCTCACCGTCTCTGATCGACGCCGCTCTCTCTCACCGTCTCCGCGCTCTCTCTCACCGTCTGTGATCGACGCCGCTCTCTCTCACCGTCTCCGCGCTCTCTCTCACCGTCTCTGATCGACGCCGCTCTCTCTCACCGTCTCCGATCAACGCCGCTCTCTCTCACCGTCTCCGCACCCTCTCTCACCGTCTCCGACGCCGCTCTCTCTCACCGTCTCCACGCTCTCTCTCACCGTCTCCGCGCCCTCTCTCACCGTCTCCGCGCTCTCTCTCACCGTCTCCGCTCTCTCCTCTCACCGTCTCCGCGCTCCCTCTCTCACCGTCTCCGCGCTCCCTCCCTCCCCTCCCTCACCGGCTGCAGTTGATGATGACGTCCTCGGGCTGCAGCCGCAGCTTCAGCTTGCCCTGCTTGGGGTGATCGCCGCGCCCGCGGAACAGCCCCGGCGGCTCCACGCGGAAGTTGGCGATGCGCTCGCGGTGCCCGTCCATGGTGCAGTAGCCGTACTCCTCCAGCAGCGCCTCGTTCCTCCTCTTCAGCTCCTGGGCGCAGATCGGCCCCGCCGGCACCGCGCGGACGTTACCGGGACGTCCGGGGGGCCGCCGCGACGCGTGCGGGCCGGCACCGCCAACCCCCGGCCGCCTTCGTCTCCCCGGCGGCTGCGGCGTCGCTCGGTACCTGCTTCTCCTCCTTGGGCATGTTCTTGCGCTCCTCTTGCTGGGCCTTGAAGTACTCCAGCATCTCCCTGAAGTCGCACTTGTCCAGGTCTTTGACGATCTTCTGCTCCGATTTCGTCATCTCCTGCGATGTGGGAGGCGGGTGGTGGGGGAGGGCACGAGAGTTGGGAATTGGCAGGGGTCGCGAGCCCGCGCGCCAAGCCGCCGCCCCGCCAGTCTCCCCCCCCCCCCCCCCGTGACCTGGGCGCACAACATCAGTGGCAAGTGGTGTCTGGGGCTGCTGTGCCGGGCCTCCCCTAGGTCGACTCGGCCTGAAACGAAAACCTGGTCGGGTGCGGTTGTTTACCACACCGCACCAAACACAGGGCACTGGTTTAAGGCTAAGGTGATCTAGGAGAGGCCCAGCACCGATGTAAAATTTAAATCTCGTCACCGGGTTCTTACCGCAGTACGCCAACCACTGTGCCACAGCAACAGCCGTCATTCACCATTAGCGGCGACGTCGCCACGGTTGCTTGCGCCAGGCTAGGTGCACGTGGAGGTCGTCACAAGCAATGTGGAAGATTCGCTGCTGGTAGGAGGTCACGGGACAGACCCAGGTGCCATGGGTTGACCGACTGAGATGACTGTCGTATGCACCACCTGTGCCGCCCAATGAGCCACCTCGCCGTGCTTTAGCCACCCGGCGCTCGGCTCGTTGCTCCTCCCTGCCCCCCGATGTTGTCCTTTCACATGTGTGTACGCGTACACACACGCACACACACGTCGACACACACACGTTCCACACTCCTAATCTCCGGATCCTCACCTTCCTCCAGTCCCTGAAGAAGTTCTCACGGAAGACGTCCCGTGTCGTGTATTCGTGCTCCAGCATCTTCGCGAAGAACGTGGCCACCTCCTCCGCCGCGACGCTCAGCTTCACCTCTTTGCCTAGGCCCAACGGGATAGGCAACGGCGTCAACGCCGTCACCGCCATCGTTATCATCGTTACCACCGTCACCACCGTCACCACCACCGTCACCACCACCGTCACCACCACCGTCACCACCACCGTCACCACCACCATCACCACCACCACCACCACCACAACCGTCACCACCACCACAATCGTCACCACCACCACCACCACCGTCACCACCGTCACCACCACCGTCACCACCACCACCTCCGCTGCCGTCACCACTGTTATCGTTATCACTGTCGCCACGTCACTATCATTGTTATCATCATCACCACCGTCACCAACGTCACCACCACCGTCGCCACTGCTGTCACGATGAGTCGCAACGCGGGGGGGGGGGGAGGGGGAGGGGGCAGCGCGAGGCCCTAACCGTCGTAGTAGAACTTGACAGCAGGCGGCAAGGGCTCGTACTCCGGGGAGAAGAGCGGCCCCTTGTGCTCCAGGAAAGTCCACTTGACTCCGTCCTCACGCTTCTCTTCCTCCCACCTGGGGTGGCGGAGGGAACGGGGGAGCAGCGCGCGCGTGTGTGTATCTATCGCAAGTGTCGTACACACAAGAGCACAAAGATCCCCGTATGGCCGTTGGGGAGAGCGCTGTTAGCGAGCAACCTATGAAGCTTGGCTTAGCGCGCGAGGAGGCAGGTGGCCAGCACCACGCCTGGCCGCCTTTGTCTCCCCAGCGGCGATGTTTACAAGTGGCAGCAGCTGCTCACTTAAGGCCGAGTAAATCTAGGAGAGGCCCACACTGCATTGACCAGGTGCTATTTCAATGGAGTTGACCCAAGCCGACCTGGAACACTCTTTCAGACACCACGTCCGATCATCACCGGTGAGTGCCGTGAGCGGGAATGGAACTCGGTGTCGCCGGGTCCGTAGAGCGGCTCCCCACCACGACACAGGTACCGGGCCGCACTGACGCAACGCCCCATTATGGACCCCCGTAGGAGAGACTCGCACACCACCCCCCCCCACCACTCACCACTTCCACTTGGACTTCTCCTCCTCCTCCTTCACGCGTTTACGCTTCTCCGCCGCCTCGGAGGACTGCCCCTTAGTCCTTGCGCACCTCTTCTCCGGCTTCACCTCCTCCTTCGCCTCCCCCTTCGCCTCCTTCTGCCGCTCCCCATCGCTCTTCTTCTTCCTCCTCTTCTTCTCGTCCTCATCTTTTTCTCTCCGTCCCCTCTGCTCCCTCGCCGAGTCCTTCCTTCCCTCTTCTCTCTGCGGGGGTTTTTTCCCGTCGGCTTTCCCGACCTTTTCACCACCCTCCCTCTCCGCTTCCTCCGCTTCGGAGCGCAGCCGCTTCCTGCCCCTGGGCTTCTCCTCCTTAACGCGGAAAACACGGCCACAAAACACCACCGAAGGCACCCTCCTGGGCTCCAACCCGGACCTCAGCCATTGCTTAAACCGCGCTCTCAAAAAGTGCACTCATCCTGTTCACTAATGAAATAAAATCAAACAAATCACGTCGCTTGAATCGCAACACAAGCGGTCGTCATCAGGCAAAGGAGTACGCCTCGAAAGGCAAACTGTTTATAAAGGTTTGGGGAGGGGCGTAGCCCAAGTGTACCAACAACACCAGAAGCACGGGCGGTGCATGAGTGCCAATGCAGCAGCAATGCCAAACGCTCGGGATGCGGGGGGGGGGGGGAAATTAACTCGGCAAAATAGACTCGTACCCGGCAGATATGATGGAACAACCATAAACTGTTCATGGTTGTGATTTGTTTCATTTTATTTTCTACCTACGTGACTTTACCGGAAGAACCAAAGAGTATAGATTCCTGCAGTCACGAAAGCTTCAAATCAAGATTGGGCACTAGTGATTCGCACAGAGATGCATAGACTCACACAGAGACCAATAGACTCATAAAGAGAACCATAGTCTCACACAAAGACCCAGACTCACACAGAGACCAATAGACTCATGCAGATAGTGAAATCGGGTTCTTAAAATTTCAGCGAGTTGATGGTCTCAAGCCCAGTCACCAATGACTGGGCTAATAAAACCTTGATCACATTCAAACTGGTTCTCAACTTAATATGGCAAGCACACGAGTCTCAAATCCTGCCGTCGACTGTGCGTGGACGAGAAGGCATCTCACACGTAGCTCCGCGATATCCGCTTCTGTGGGCCGTTCTCGAGCAAGGCGGCTCGCACCGCCGTGCAAGACCTCCGCACGGGGGGTCTCGCGACGCGACGACGCCGGTGCCACGATCGGCACAACACCGGGAGACGATCGTAAAACCACAGCGCCACCACGCAAAGGTGACAGCACGCCGGACACGAGTCACAAACGCGGCACGGCACACCGCATCGAGGGTGCGCACGCGAGGGGTCACCTTCGTCTTGGCCGCTTCCCTCTTGCGCTTCCTGTTTTCGGTGTCGCTCAAATTTTTTCTTCTGTAATGGCGACTGCCTGAAAAGCACAGCGGCTGACGTCACCACCACGCAGCACACACGCGTACGTACTCGCACACACGCGTGTTCACGCACACACGCGTACGTACTCGCACACACGCGTGTTCACGCACACACGCGTACGTACTCGCACACACGTGTGTTCACGCACACACACGTGTGTGCGTGCATTCACATGCGACGACACGCGTGCCGATTTCGTCGCTCGTTGATCGAATGAAAAACATCCTAACATGCCAACGAGTACAGAGCTGGGACAGCCGGTGGTGGCGCCAGCTCCTCAGCCCTTGCCTGCTCCCCCCCGAGATGCAATTTGCATGAACGGGGCAGCGAAAGGGAGGGAACACATCTCCCGCAAGGGATGAGTCACAAAAACGAGGAGACGCACGGCGAACACAATACGGTCTTCTTTTGCTCCGTACGGGGGCGTCACCGCTCTGGCGGCCCGTGGCACCGAGATCGGCGACCGCGGTAGCGCGGTCGCCTGTTCTCCGTTCGGCACCGGGGCGGCGGAAGCCGTCGCAGGGCACAGCGTGTGGCGAGAGGCGATTGACACCCAATCGAATCGTGACCCCGAATCGTGTGTGCTCACTCTGCGATGCCAGCGCCATCGTCCCGCGCAGCGCGAAACTTCTTGCTGCCTCCCTCGTCCCCGCGAGCCTCCTCGCTCGCCGGAGGCGGTGGAGGAGGTGCCACCTCGTTAGTGGCGCCACTCGGCTTCTCCTGCTTCACCGTGCTGCGGCCAGAGAAAGGGGGAGAGCCCCCCCCCCCACCCCGGGTCAACCGTAACCACTAGCCCCAGCAAACACCCAGCCCCAACCCTAGCCCCATCAAACACCCACCTCCAACCCCAACCCTAGCCCCATCAATCACCCAGCTCCAGCCCCAACCCTAGCTCCATCAATCACCTAGCTCCAGCCCCAACCCTAGCCCCATCAAACACCCAGCTCCAGCCCCAACCCTAGCTCCATCAATCACCCAGCCCCAACCCTAGCCCCATCAATCACCCAGCTCCAGCCCCAACCCTAGCCCCATCAATCACCCAGCTCCAGCCCCAACCCTAGCCCCATCAATCACCTAGCTCCAGCCTCAACCCTAGCCCCATCAAACACCCAGCTCCAGCCCCAACCCTAGCCCCATCAATCACCCAGCCCCAGCTCCAACCCTAGCCCCATCAAACACCCAGCTCCAGCTCCAACCCTAGCCCCATCAATCACCCAGCTCCAGCTCCAACCCTAGCCCCATCAATCACCCAGCTCCAACCCCCACCCTAGCCCCATCAATCACCCAGCTCCAGCCCCAACCCTAGCTCCATCAATCACCCAACCCCAACCCTAGCCCCATCAAACACCCAGCTCTAGCCCCAACCCTAGCCCCATCAATCACCCAGCCCCAACCCAAGCCCCATCAAACACCCAGCTCCAGCCCCAACCCTAGCCCCATCAATCACCCAGCTCCAGCCCCAACCCTAGCCCCATCAATTACCCAGCTCCAACCCCAACCCTAGCCCCATCAAACACCCAGCTCCAGCTCCAACCCTAGCCCCATCAATCACCCAGCTCCAGCTCCAACCCTAGCCCCATCAATCACCCAGCTCCAACCCCAACCCTAGCCCCATCAATCACCCAGCTCCAGCCCCAACCCTAGCTCCATCAATCACCCAACCCCAACCCTAGCCCCATCAAACACCCAGCTCTAGCCCCAACCCTAGCCCCATCAATCACCCAGCCCCAACCCTAGCCCCATCAAACACCCAGCTCCAGCCCCAACCCTAGCCCCATCAATCACCCAGCTCCAGCCCCAACCCTAGCCCCATCAATTACCCAGCTCCAACCCCAACCCTAGCTCCATCAAACACCCAGTTCCAACCCTAGCTCCATCAATCACCCAGCTCCAGCCCCAACCCTAGCCCCATCAATCACCCAGCTCCAACCCCAACCCTAGCCCCATCAATCACCCAGCTCCAGCCCCAACCCTAGCCCCATCAATCACCCAGCTCCAACCCCAACCCTAGCCCCATCAATCACCCAGCTCCAGCCCCCCAACGCTAGCCCCATCAATCACCCAGCTCCAGCCCCCCAACGCTATCCCCGTCTCTCCACGCGTTTCGGGTCCCGGTGACCCCCCCCGCCGTACGTGCCACGCTGCGGGCCCTGTCCCCGTTTCACCGTTTCCCACAGAACAACGTGCCGGGCGAGCGGGCCCCGGACCCCTCCCCCCCGTGTCGCCGACCCTCGCCTGCCGGCGCTCACCGGTGATCGCCTCCGGCCTCAACGGCGGTGCGCTCCGTGCCGCGCTCCGCTCCCTGCGACGCTCGCGCAGACACAGACGCACACGGCGCTCGTCTCACACCAACACCGCCGTCACCGCCGTCACCGCCGTCACCGCCGTCACCGCCGTCACCGCCGTCACCGCCGTCACCGCCGTCACCGCCGTCACCGCCGCCGCGAACCCGGGGTCCGAGGGGGCGATTCTCACGAGCGTCACGCGCAAGTCACTTTACGGCCCCCGAGTTAATCACAAGCAACAATAATCGCAACGAGCAAATCGGCGCCACCGCACAGCGTCCGCTCCTCACTCTCGTAGGCAGAGAACGCCTCAGAGGCGACAGGAAGAGGAGCCACAGACGAGCGGGGAAGGCCGCGTCGCGCAATCCGCCCGCCCGCTCGCTCGCTACGAGCCGACTGGGCGCTTTTCCCTCCCGCGGGGTTCATCGCTCGCCACGGCTCCAGGCGGTGGTTCCCTCGACGCTCAACAAACGGCGCCCGCGGGCCACGCACCGCCTAGAGTGGCGGTCCTCCGGCGAGCGCGAGAAGTTCAACACGCGCGCGAGCGTGGAGGCCGCGGCGCGACCAGCGGCGCCGAGCGCCCCCCCGCGCCGGTACCTGCTTGACGCCGCGCGAGTCCCCCGTGCTCTTCGCCACGTCCTTCCCTCTGCGGGGAGAGCGATCGGATTCAACTTTCGGGCCGGCGGGCGACGAGAATTTCCGCCCCTCCCCCACCTGCAAATCATCCCAACTACGCCCGGGGCGGCCACCGGCGGCCACGCGCCGCAACCGATCGGCGGTGCTGCCCCCCCTCCACCACCCCTCTCCCGTTGGGAGGCTTCTCCGGGGTGGCAAGGCGAGCGGCGAGAAGCCTCGCTGGGGAAGCTCTCCGGGCGGGTGGGCGGGACGCACCGAATCATTGCCGACGATCGCCATCGCGTGGTGACGCTCACGCCTCGTGGCGAGAAGCGCCTCGGTTTCATTCTCTCCATTTCCCCCTGTTCTGCAGAGCGCGTGGGAGTGTTTGTGAGCGTGTACGTGAGCGTGTATGACTGTGTGTACGTGCGCGAGTGTGTATGCGTGTGTGTACATGAGTGTGTACGTGAGTGTGCGTGCGAGTGTGTACGTGAGTGTGTGCATGAGTGTGTGCGCGAGTGTGTACACGAGTGTGTGCGTGAGTGTGTGCGTGAGTGTGTATGCGAGTGTGTACGTGAGTATGTATGTATGCGAGTGTGTACGTGAGTGTGTACGCGAGTGAGTGTGTATGCGAGTTTATGTGTGTATGCGGCAAAACAACCCCCTACCTCCTCGTGGTGCCGGACCGGCAATGCTGTCATGGGCAGTGCTGTGGGGTAAGGGCCGATTGGCCTTTACCCTCATGGCGTTTGTAACCACCACAGCGACCAAATGGGGGCTCTGGATGGGTGCGAGGGGCTGATAACCCCTGCACCTTCAAATAATTACCACTAAACCACGACGACAACATTTAATAAATAAGCTTGTGCCGGAGGCCCCAGGGGGACAGGCGTCTATGATGTCTCCTGGTCAAACCAGGAGACTGAATCCTTACCCTAGGATCTCCTCCACAAAAAAAACATTACGTGTGGCCACGTGGAATGTTCGAACGCTCACTGCGGAGGGGAGGCTGCCACTCCTCTGTCGGGAGCTGGACCGGTACAGCTTGGATCTCTGTGGTATTCAGGAGCTCCGGTTGACCGGCTCTGGCTTCTGCCACCATGAGGGGTAGACAGTTCTCTACTCGAGGCAGGAGATTGCCAAAACAACAGGGAGTAGCTCTTCTTCTGAACAAAATAATGAAGGGGGCGTGGGAGCATGGCGGTGAGGTGTGGGAAGCTGTAAGCCTCAGGCTCCTTTGGGCTCGCCTTCCCATCAACCAGAGGCATGGAGTGGTGGTCGTGGTTACTTATGCCCCTACTGAAGTCGAACATCCATGGAGGGATGCAGGCAAGGCCGATGAGTCGGATGCCTTTTATGACCTCCTGTCACAGGTGCCAGCTAAAGTGGCCCCCTCGGGATAGAGTCATCTTGTTGGGTGACTTCAATGCCCGAGTCGGTCATAATGCTAGCACTTGGTCTGGAGTGATTGGAAGGCATGCGCCAGATCAGCTCAATAACAACGGCAGGAGGCTGCTTTATTTTGTGCAGTCCATGGGCTCGTAATTACCAACACGCTGTTCCGGTATCGGCGCATCCACACAACATCATGGATGCATGCCGGGTCCAAACAAGAACATCTGCTGGACTACATAGTGAAGGAACAGCGGATGCGGGCCCATGTCCTTCACACCAGAACCTACCGTGGAGCTGATCTGCCCTCTGGCATTGTCCCTCACTCCTCCAGATGTCGAGGGTAAAGAGCGAAGTTTAGGACTGTGACTCATGCAGCAGCAATGGCTGCTTGGGGTACGTGGTCCAGACCTCCCCAGACACCCTGGCTGACAGAGGAGGTGTTCAGGATGGTTGAGAAAAAGCGACAGGCCCACTCTAATCGTCTACAGCAGGGGTCGGGAACCTTTTTGACTAAGAGAGCCATGAAAGCAAAAAATTTGGAAATTTATTTCAGTGAGAGCCATATAATATATTTTAAAAGTGAATTCAACTAAATGTCAGTATAATAAGCCTCTGAATTTATTCTTTTAAATAATGTTGTTATAACACTCACCATTAATGCGACTTCTGGTGCTGCATGGATTTGCTGATGTCTTTGTAGTCGGGTTGGTACTTGGTGAGGTTAAGCTTCATGCAAGCGTTGAGGCTTTCATCCGTTAAACGTGATCGTAGGTTGGACTTGATGTTTTTAAGATGTGAGAATGACTGCTCACATGCATACGTAGATCCAAACATGGTCAATACAGCAATACTCACACGCTGCAGTGTGTGGTATGTGACAGGAAGCGCGTTCCAAGTTTGAGAATCAGCTGGTCTTCGGGTTGGAGTTTTTTTCATTTCTGTCCACATGTGCTTGCTCGCCAACTCCGCTTTCTGTCGTGTGATTCTTTCCAAATCTTCATTCAGTGACTTGAACTTATTCACCCACATGTCTGAGGCCTTCAGGTCAGCCACTTCTGCTTCAAAATCTCTGACGGAGACACCAGGGATGTAATTCAGGTCGGCTGTGTTCAGTGAACACTCGTTTGGATGGGTGATGAACTTAAAAAGACGAGTGTGCTCACGAAATTCTCCAAAGCGTGCTTTGAAGGACTGTAGGAGACTGGATGTGCAGCCAGCTAGCTGGTGGAGATCAAGGTTTTGAATGGGCTCACTTGCTGTGCATGCATCTTTAAATTGGCTCAGTTTTTCAAAATGTAGTAAACGACCTGTTTCAAGATCCGTGATGAAAAGCTCCAGCTTGTTTTCAAAAGCAAATACAGCTTGTTGAAGGGATAACACTGTATTTCCAATGCCTTGCATTT